TCCAAAGGAAAGGGAAAAGATCTAATAAAAACCTAACTGTGCAATGTAATAACAATGCGAAGAGATCTAAAGGTTCGGGGGTTGGTTATACTAATGGAATGTATTAGCACCCTAAGTATCTATAGTATCCTATAGGAACCTCTTGAAAGTAATTGTGTTATGGTAATTTGTTTTCTAATGTTTGAAAATGTTCTACTTTTGGGTTTTATGAGATAAGGGATCTAAGGAGGTTTATTGCTAGTATGCTTGCCAAAACTTCGCAGTCTTATGCCTATGTATCCTAACAAGGATAGAATCAGAGCAATCATAGTTCACCTAACTAAGGGTGAACAACACTTGATAGTAATCAAAGTTCAAAAGAGGAAGGTAAGTTTTTATAACAATAACACTTACATGACTTAACAAAGTCAAAGAGTTTATAAACTCTAACCTAAGACTATGTTGAAAGGTTAAAGACTTAACAAAGTCAAAAGGGGTAGTTGAGGGAATGCTAAACTACCTATGACATAAAGTCAACAAAAGGTGTATTTCCTTTAGATTTAGGCAACAAAAGAAAAGAGAAAAGAGAGAGAGAGAGAGAGAGAGAGAGAGAGAGAGAGAGAGAGAGAGAGAGAGAGAGAGAGAGAGAGAGAGAGAGAGAGAGAGATAATAAGCTAACAACACTAGGGGATGACTTGACAAAGTAAAAATAAACATGAGCATATGGGTGATGATGGATGAGATGAACAAGAATGATGTTAAACATGATATCAAAGTAAACATGACAATAATAAAGGACTACATTCAACATGATATCAATCAAAGTAAACAACACATGATAAAGGTGATATTCAAACATGACATCAATCAAGGTGAACAAAGCATGAATGACTTGACAAAGTTACATGAACATAAACAAGCACATGAGTAAAGATATGACAAAATCTAAGTTAAGATTTTAACAAAATCAAGAATGATAACAATCAATACATGAAGGTAGATGTGGCAACATCTAAGACAAGACCTAACAAAGTCACAAATAAACAATCATGGTAATAACACTAGAATGAATATAAAGCAAAGTCAAAGCATACATGTGATTAGGTTCTAATAAGACCAAAGTAACAACACAAATATGGCATATTAAAGAATGTTTATAATAATAACATGTTAGAATACAATATAAGCACATAAGTAACAAGATATGAGCATGGTAAAAGAATGTGACAACATTGACAACATCATAAAGGATATAAAAATATCAAGGTCAAGGAAACAATATCAACATATGAATTATGTCATGGATATTACAATATAAAACATGGATGAATACAAGTAGCAACACTTAGAGAAATGATTCAAACATGAAACATATGGGGTAACCATGAGATTAGGTCAAGATTAGGACATGGTTTAGGGTTTATTAACACCACTTACTTAATCATGAATACAATTCAAGATTCAACAATCCTTTATGATGTTGTTTAAGAACTAACCAAAGTCATTGTATCAAAGTTAAGGCGAATCATGAACATATGATAAAATATGGTTTAAACACATAACAAGTATGCATCAAAGGTTCACATGGTGTAAGTATCAAATCAAAGTTAAAGGAGGTGTTTCATAATCAAACATGAAGAAACAAGACATGTACACTTAAAAAAGTGTCCATTAAAGTACCTCAAACTTAGGCAAAACATCAAAGAATCATGTTATCAACATCACACAAGGTTCACATAACATTCATGACATTTATAGACATCAATATGATAAAGAGAAATCAAAGAAACATTCAAAAGGAACCAATTAAGGACCTAAAACCACTTTAAAAAGTGCCTCACTTTAAATACATAAAAATGTGTGAAAATAAAATATTTTTGGGAATTTATTTATGGGTTCACAAAATAGGTATCACAAATAAGAGGAATGTAAACAATCAAGTTAAAAGGATAAACATTTAAAGAGATATGGTTAAATGAAAATGGGAAAAAAGGGAAATGGACAAAGTGGTAAAAAAAAGGGAATGGTTCACATGAGACTTGAACCCACGCCCTTCTAGTTACAGACCTATAACTTTGCCACTGGGACACTTGCTTGGCCCAAACAAAACACGCGTGCATTAACTAAAATATGAAATTAAGTTGAAAATCAGGAAAATAAAAAAAGCACAAAAGGACTAGGGCGAAGGGGATTCGAACCACAATCCCTTAACACACATCACACTCCAAACCGACACACAAGCCATTGTGGCGCAATGCCAATTCAACTATAAAATGGAATCCATAAAATAAGTATTAAACCCACGTTTTAAAAATGAAAATTCCGCCTCAGCATCATCTTCATCTCTCACGTGTTCTCTCTTTCTCTCTTTTTTTTTTTCATTTTTTCCTCAAGCATATCTCTCTCATTTCTCCATGAAATTCAAAGTTCCAAAAACCAAAATTGCTTAGAATTCAACAAGGAATTGAATGGCATAATTTTCATAAACTAAAACTCAATTAATATTGCACACGAAGGGCAAAACTAGTCACTAAATCCTAGGTTTCTAACAACCAAAACTACACATACAAGCATGATAAATTACAAACAGGTTATAGGTCATACTCAACACAATGATGTCTACATTTTTGCTTCAATAATCAACCAAAGATGATGAGTTTCAAGAGTGAGAAAAAACCTTACCTATTGGAGTAAGGTCCAATGCCCCTTCTCAAGCTTCCAGAAGTTGTGTAATGGTGCAGTTGATACCCTTAGACCTCAAGGAGAATGCTTGGAGACTTGGTTCAGTTTACAACAGCTTCAAATCCTTCACATGAACCTTCTTGCAAAATGTGAAGTGAGATATGAAAGGTGATGGTATTGATGCTACAAAACTTGTTTAAGGGTTCAAACAAGTTCTAAGAGGTGTTTAGGAGATGTTTAGATGGCTTGTTTGGAAAGAAATTTCAAGGGGAAAAAGATTAGAAGAAATGGACTTTTGAGCTCTTATGAAGTTCTCAAAGTGAATTTATGTGTTTAGAGAGGTTTTTGGTGTATTTCTTGTGTGTTTTGAACTTGTGGAGAGACCTCTATTTATAGGGAAATGTTGGAGGATCAAGGGAGAAACAAAATCACAAGTTGTGGAGTTTTGGTTTGGTTGGATTTTAAGTGTTGGTTTCATGAGAAATTGTGGTTCCAATGTGTGATCCCTTGATTCATGGATGCATGATCTCTTTTCTGCACTTTAGGGAGGTTGCTTCTAAGCCAACTTGACAAAGTATGATCAAAATTAACAAAACATGTGCCTAAAAATCAGATTTGGTGAAAAAAATTTGCTTTGTCAAAATGGATATGCCATTTTTTTGCAAAATGATCCACATATGGTATGTCGAATTGGATAAAGCCTTAGCTACTTGTGTAATGCACTTAGGATCTGTGTAAATCATTAATTATGTGAAGATTTCGAAGCAAAATGACCTGCACAATGAGATCTCATAGGTTTTTCTAGATCTTGCAAGAAGAACATGTCATGAAAATGATAGCACACTCAGAACCACTGCTTCAAGAGTGTTTTTCTTTGATTTTTTTGACGTTTTGTTCTGGATTTGGCTCGACTATTCCCTTGTACCTGAAAATACACAAATAACAATACTGAGCATAAAATATGGAATACATAATTAAAACACAAGCAAAAACATGAAATACTTGACTAACAATACGGTAATATAAAACATAGAAAACCATCGATCACTACTCAATAAAACCCTACAATTTCCAGCTATCGGTTCAAGCACTGCGTAATCCAAACAAGAGTTTATGCAATCAACAGCTACTGCAGCATCTGATTGGATGACAATGTCCTTAACATTTAAACTCATTGTCAACTGTAAATTCCACCTGATGGTCAGAATCTCCGCAACAACAGGTTTCACAGTTATAACCTCCGACCTACATGCAACAAAGTTTGTACCTTCCTCAGGGTCCTTCATGACACAACCAAAAGTAACCACACCATTGTGAAAAACATCAGCATCAACCTGTATAATTGTGAGTTTGTTTCCCTTCACCGTGTGAATAGTTGAAGTTTTCCTCTTCGTGGTGATCCTCAGATTCCACTTGTTAAATTCACTGACAAGGATAAGAGCCTCATTCACCGTCTACACAGGATTGGATAATTTAAGTTAAAACAATATCAAATTACGAGCCTGCCAGATTTTATATGCCAGAATGCCCAACAATTGAGTGATAAGAAAATCCTCATGCGAGAAAATGCTCTACAATCATGAGCATATCCCTAAGCTAGAAGGGAGCCTGGAACCTAGGATAGAAGAGAAAAAAGCTTGTCTGGAAAAAACACACTTCAAGAACAAATGTTCTGCAGTCTCCATAGCAGCATGGCAGAGAGGACATAATGTGTCAAGAATCATACCTTTACTCCGCAGGTTGTTACGCGTGGGCAGGATATCCTTTGCGAGCCTCTATAAGAAGTTACGAATCCTAGTGTTAAAAGGTCCCTTCCAGATGGACTTTCACAGGCTTTGATGAAGGAGACACGATGGGCCAGGTTGCAGCCTCGCTTTTTCCTGCATACACAAATGATAGGCTGACCGCACGGAATAGACCTCATTCTTTTCATAATGCCAGATAACTTCGTCATCAATGTTGCGTTGGGAAAGAGGAATACTAACTATGTGGGACGCTTCCAACTGCTTAAAACACGAACCGACCAGATATTTTTTCCAAACACCAAGCTCATTATCTATGAGGTCACTCACCACAACCTCCATATCAAAACTACCATCCAGACTAAGGATTTTAAAGCAAGGGTTACCAAGGACCCATCTGTCTTTAAACACCATAACTTTCGATCCATTCCCAATCTTCCAACGCATACCTGATTGAATAAGATTCCTGGCACTTAAAATGCTTCTCCACTCATAACTTGGGTTAAAAGCAAATGAGCAATTTTCAAAAACGCATCTTGGGTAGTACCTCCGTTTTAGGACTTTCCCCATAACCGACTATGTGTTTGATAGTAGCCTTCAATACTGCTTTCCCAAGACACTTGTATTGAATTCACTTATGCCACGAAACCCCATGCCTCCCTCACCCTTCGCCCTGGCCAACTTATCCCAGCTTAACCAATGAAGTTTCCTCTCCCCATTTTTCGAACCCCACCAGAATTTCGCAATTAGACTTTTAATTTCCTTGCAAGTAGTTTCCAAAGTCTTATAGCAACTCATGATGTAACTTGGAATTTCTTGGGCCATAGCTTCAATGAGGACTTTTTTCCCCGCGCGAGTCAAAAACCTCTCGTTCCAGCCTTTTACTTTCTTCGAAACGCTTTCCACGAACATAGCGAAAACTTCCTTTTTTTGACCTTCCGAAAATAACTGGTAGACCAAGATATCTGGAATGGCTCCAAACCGTCTTTACTCCCATCCTTAACCAAATAAAATCTCTATCATCTTCGCGCACATTTTGTAAGTGGTAAAAGACAATAGACAACAAGACTTGGAAGATCATGATTAGAAAAAATTAAGTGGTAAAAGATGACCCACATGTAAAATCTGAGAATTCTATGACTAGAAAAAAAGGAAAACATTTATCTCTCTATGAAGCAAATTATGTAACATGTTGTGTGTGGAAACATGTTTCGTAAAACTTGTCAAGAAGATATATCATCACCTTTTCCGGCATGCACTGAGGGCTAAGTATCTCAATATGTTTTTTTGCCATGGATCGACAATTCGATGTTTTTTAGTATATATCGGATATTTTCAACGCGCACAACTATGGAGAAAAAAATTTTAAGTCGAAAAATATCATAACAGACGATAAATATTCTATCAAAAAAAATTTAACATTGTTGCGTGCACTTATAGCATCTCTTACCACTATGGTATGCACCAACTTTTACAATAATATGTAATGATAAATGGAAATATAAATTAAGTTTTTAAATAAGAGAGACTAAAAGACATTTATGGAAGATTGGATTTGAAGTAATGTGCAATACAACTTGATTATCACAAATAAGCGTCATTGGTCTTGCCTCTTCAATTTGAAGTTCCTTGAGCAACTGTTTTAGCCAAATAAGTTCACATGTTGTCATTGCCGTGGTCATATACTTTTCCTCGGCGCTTGATCTTGCAACTATGCTTTGTTTCTTACTTTTCTAGGATATAAGGTTTCCTCCAACAAGTACATAATACCTAGAGGTGGATCTTCTGTCAATGGGTGACCCTGCCCAATCAGCATTAAAGTATCAAACTATTTGGGTATGTCCTTTATCCTCATACACAAGACCTTTTCCTATAGCATATTTGATGTACCTCAGAATCTGGATAACAACATCTGTGTTTTCTGACAAGGGGAATTTAAGAACTGGCTTAACACACTAACTGTAAAAGAAATATCCGAACAAGTGACTACGAGATAATTCAACTTTCCAACCATTCTCTTATACCTTCCTGAGTCAGATAGAGGCTCCCTGTGATTGGGTAGTAGTTTGACACTTGGATCCATGGGAGTATTAGCTGGTTTTACATTTAACCAGCTTGTTTCTTCCAAAATATCCATAGCATATTTCTGCTAAGAAATCACCAAACCATCTTTAGATTGAGCTACTTCAATACCCAAGAAATAGTGGAGTTTACCAATATGTTTTGTCTGAAATTGTTTTGAGAGATGTTGTTTCAACTGGAGTATTCCCTGTTGATCACCACTAGTTATGACAACGTCATCTACATACACAATAAGATAAATACACCGTTGGAGTGAGTGACGATAAAAAACAGAATGGTCAACTTCACTACGGACTATGCCAAACTGTTGTACTACAGTGCTGAATATGCCAAACCAAGCTCTCAGAGATTTCTTAAGACCATAAAGAGACTTGTGTATCCTACAAACCATATTCGATGACTCCCCTTGAGCAACAAACCCAGGTGGTTACTCCATATATACTTTGTCTTCAAGATCACCATGTAAGAATGCATTTTTAATGTCAAGTTAATAAAGAGGTTAATGTCAAATGGCTGCAATGGCTAGAAGAAGTCTAACAGATACCATATTGGCTACAGGCGAAAAGGTATCACTATAATCCAACCCAAAATTTTGAGTGTATCCTTTGGCATCCAAGTGAGCCTTAAATCGATCAATCTTACCATCTGGACCAACCTTCACTGTATAAAGCCAATCAAAACCTACTAAAGATTTCCCATGGGGTAGAGGAACCAATTCCCATATACCACTGCTTTGAAGAACACACATTTCATCAATCATTGTTTGCCTCCACAAAGGGTGATATAATGTTTCACCTAGAGTTTTAGGAATATAAATAAAATACAAATAAGACAAAGAAGTATATTACAAAGGGGAAAGACGATGATAACATAAATCGATATAATGTGGAGAAGGATTTTGTGTTTGACATATACCTTTTTGAATGGAAATCGGAAGATCGGACTTAGGTTGCAGGATCGGATTCAGTGATGGTGAGAGCGTCGGAGGAGAGTTTGTATTGACCTCAGGAACAAGTACGACTTCAGGGATATGTACGAAAGACGTTGGGTGATGGCGCTGATATGTTTGAAGCAGGAGAAGAGTGCGGGGTTTAATCGTAGGGGTATCTAGTGGGTCAGGTTCCCTAGAATGATGGGGGATAATGACATATGGGACTTTTGGAAGAGGTATGGGAATACTTTCCCGTAGAGGTTCCATAGTTACTTGGCTGGAGTCGAAATATGGAACAGACTCGAAGAAGGTAACATCGGCGGAAATAAGGTATCATTGTAGAGTATGTGAGTAGCAACGATAAACCTTTTGGGATCGATGATAGCCAAGAAAGACACACTTTATTAATTGATCTAATAGTTTATCAAGAGCAGGGGAGAGATTATGTACAAAACATGTAGACCCGAAGACTCGAGGAGGAATTGGGTGGAGTGGAGATTTTGGAAATAAGATTGAATGAGGGATTTTATTATTAAGGACATATGAGAGCATACGATTTATGAGGTAACATGTCATGAGCACCGCGTCTCCCCAAAACCGGAGAGGAACATTACCATGGAGAAGTAGGTTTCAATTGGTTTCTACGAGGTGCCAATTTTTGCGTTCGGCTACCCCGTTTTGTTGGAGTGTATGATGGCAACATGTTTGGTGCAAAATACCATTAGATGACATAAAGGTTGAAATTTTTGGGATAAATATTCACGTGAATTATCACTTCTTAAGGTACGAATAGACAAATCAAATTGGGTTCTTATTTCTCGATAAAATTATTCAAAAATGGAAAACAATTCAGACATGTTCTTCATTAAAAATAACCATGTGCAACGTGAAAAATCATCAACAAAAGTTACAAAAAATTAGACTCAGAAGTAGACACGATACGCGAGGGACCCTAAACATCAGAGTGAGCTAAAGTAAAAGGGGACGCACACCATTTATTGACTCGATCGGGAAAGTGACTACGAGTATGTTTCCCTAACTGACAAGACTCACAATGTAAAGTGGATAATTTAGATAAACTGGGAACCAACTTTTGTAGCTTGGGAAGACCTGGATAACCTAACTGTGCATGTATAATGAGTGGAGAATATGTGGTGGAGCATGTGGTAGATGATGTAGAGAAGTAGTAGAGGCCTTGAGACTCACATCCAACGCCAATAATTTATCCCGAACTCCGATCCTACAGAGTAACATTACTATTAGTAAATGTGATAGAATAATTAAGGGAACGAGTTAAATGACTGACATACAATAAATTCAATGGGAAATTAGGTACATATAACATAGAGGTAATAGAAAGAGATGGTAAAATTTAAACAACACCAGTTCCTTGGGATCGGGTTTGAAAACCATTTGCGACAGTTATAATGGGTAAGAAACCAGAGGTAGATAGGGAAGAAAAAAGACTTTTATTACTAGTAACATGTGTTAGAACAAGATTTGTCCATGACATATTATCTTTTAGTTTTGATGATAACAAAATTATTGAAATAACAATGGTTTATTTGATGTGTGTTTTATTTATAAAGGTTCTTGTACATAAATAATCAGAATTTGTTTTACTTAGACACACTTGGGAGTTGCTTCATTGCTAGCTTTTGGTGGTAGAATCTGAAGAACGTTTGTTGGTATGGCTTTGCGTAGATTCGGGTGCTGAAGGTCCAGTACTTAGACAAGTCACTACACTTGGAAATTGTATATCAGAATCTAGTACCACTCAGAGTTGGTGATAAAGCTGGAAGTCGTCCGTAATGTAGAAAGCAAATTGTGTTATCTTATCAGTTTGTTAGAAAGAGTCTACAGATTGCAAGGCTCAAGAAAATCTGACATGATTTATGGATGACTACTTCTAATGGCTCTTTTAGTACGAGAACCTCTTGAAGACTAAGGTTAAACGTATTACACACTGGATTCAGAATCTGGTGTGCATCCATCTTCAACGTCTCTTGTACTATGGGACAAAGACAAAGACACTTGATCAAGTTACTTCCTTAATGGCTAGTTTTCTACAAAGGCTATAAATATGGCTGAAGGTTCTTACTGAAAAGTAGAACAAGGATTCTCCAGACGAAGGAGTAGCAAGATCAAGCAATTATCAACTCTATTGTAATATGTAGGTTTTCTATATGTAGGTTGTAATTGTAAAAGCCTTAAGATTTCCTAAACATTGTATATCTTAGAAATCTTAAGTGCTCTAGGTCTTTGTTATGGTGATTTCCCGTACCTCTAATACTTTTATCATGTACACCTTGTTCTCTATCCTGCTAGGCCTGTTTAGCAGTTTAGATCAAAGTCTCTTGCTATGTGCTTGAGCAAAAGTCTTGTCCCATCCTTAACCGGATCAAATCTCTATCATCTTCACACACATTTTGACTAAACGAGGCCTCAGATTTATCAAGGTTTACCACATGTCTAGAAGGCACCTGATACTATTTAAAACCTCTAGAATTCTATCCACTTCACAAGTGGTAACACGGGAAAATAACAAACTGTCGTTCGCAAAAAAAAGGTGTGTGATCACTAGAGCTTTTCGCGTAATTTGCAGACTGTGTAACCTCTCTTCCTGCACCTCCTTCTTGATTAAACTCGACAACACATCTGCACAAAGAGTGAATAAATAGAGTGAGAGAGGGTCCACTTGACGGAGACCCCTAATAGGCATAAAACTTCTGCAAGGCTTCCCATTTAGCATCACCTTGTACGAGACAGTTGAAATACATATTCT